ATTATTTTATGTTTGGATAATTAAAGTAAAAGGAAGAAAAAAAGGGGAAGGATTTAAATTAATTTTAAATTTACAAATTTACTCTTTAAATTTATAATAGAAAATAATATAATAAAAAAATTAAAGTTAATTTTATAATTACATTTAACATAAACGACCACTCAAATCCCGCTCAAACCCCTCAAATCGGGCAAATTATAAATCTGTAAATTCTAGAGGGTTGAAGGGAGTTTAAATCATTTCATCTCCATCCTTCTTTACCTCTTTGAAAACCCAAATAAGATAAAGGAAACAGCTCCCCTCACTCCCCCTCCCTTGCCATCCGTCCCATACCTTTCCCTCCCTTCTCGTCCGACACCTCCAATCCAAACAATACCTTAATGTGAAAAATCAAAATTTTATCTGCGAAAAGGAAAGCGTCAGATGGATGAACGAGGAAAGTAGGAGGCTAAACAGAGGGTAGGAGACGAGTGCGGTGAAGCCATGGGCTAATGAGGAGGAGAACAAAAGAGGAAGTCAGTCTTTTGCTCATAATTTGAGCTCCAATAATGGTGGGGGTATAAACCAAGTTGAGGCTCAAATGGGTGAAGAGTAAGAGCCTAGACCACATCATTGATACTGAGACCGATCTTAACGCTGCCTTCCTTCTCGAGAATGCTTTCAAGCGCTTGCCTACCGACTTCCTCACCGCAAAGCCTTCCGCCAATTGGCAAAAAGCTTCTAAGCTTCACAGTAGCCGTTCTTGGTTTTCTCTGCAGGTACTAAGCTCTATTTCACTAATTTGTGAATCCCTTTTGTGTGGTTCTGCTTTGTTTTCAGATAGGAAATTGAATGAAATATAGTGAATTTGAGAGTTTGACAATGTAGGATTTTTCTTTTCCTTTTCTATGATCAGCAATTGGCGGTATGCTTAGTTTAGTTCTTGAGAATTATATTGCAGAGAGAATTTGTGGAGAGTAAAGATGTTAATCTGGTGAAAATTTGTAATTAATGTGTGAAAAAGATCTCATTTTCTTGAATTCTCACTTGCCCCCTTTGCAAAATGCCTTGTTTTGATTTAGCTAAAGTTGCAACGAAGATGTAGGATTGTTACGATTGTGGAGTTTTCAACTTTTTAGTGTAGATGCCCTACTCTTTTTGAACATCCCACAAGTACAGTATTCTAATTCGCCTCGTTTTCGATCTGTATACATCAAACTTATAAGAATGATACTACTGTAGAGGGTAGAGTGACTTTGTAGAGTGCCTATGAGGATGACAAGTAGGACCTTTGCTTTGTTTAATTCTATATTTGTTAAAGATTAGATTTTTGTTATTTTCCCCCTTTGGAATGATTTTGATTGTTTGACCATCTTGAGTAACAGACTGACAGGTATTCCTAGCAATCTGATTCTTCTAACATCCTTTCACCATTTATATATGTAAAATTAGAAAAAAAAACCTCAAGAAAATGGAGGAAGGAAGGCTGTTCTTCTTAAGTCATAGAATTATGATAAATTCATTTATGTTCCTTACCAATACCATAATTAAAAATATATTATTGAAAATGCATATTAATATTTACTTCAAACACATGAAAAAAAAAAAAAAGAAAAAAAAAAAACAGCAATCAATGCTTGGTTATTGTATCACAAACTCGTATTCAACAAACAACATTTTCAATTTGTGGTACAATGCAACTCAAAAGAAAAAGAAACTAAAAAACAAATGAAGAACATGAATCATGGACATTTTGGTTACCTGCAGATGTGTTCTTCTAACATTCTTATATCCCCTTACTGCGCCAAATACGTAATCTACATTCCCAGTCAATAACATACTTGCATCCTGGTTGTGTACATTCGAGGAATACCTCTTTACAATACTTGTCACAAACACTACATTTAAGATAATCATGGTAATAATCCTTCTTCCCAAGAGTGAGAGGGTGCTCATGAAATTCATACTCGTAAGTCAATCCGAGCTTCATGAATGGGTACTTGCTAAGAACACATAAGAAATGAGCAGCATAATCACAGATTCCACAATAATAAAACCTCTCATTTGGATCTCTTGATTCTTCACATATATCACAGACACATTGATCCAAATGAGGATGAATATCATCGCGGTAAGTGAGTACCAAAGGATGTTCATCATTCTTGCACCAGGCTGTATTTGGCAGCGTAAGACGTGTATAATCCAAGGTGAAATGATCACATTCCTTGAGTCTGCATACAAAGGCCCCTTTTTTCTGATGACCATCATCACAAATATTGCATTTGAAAGTAAATCTGTGATCAAAGAAGACCCAGTGCCTATGTCCTTTAGTGGTAAGGCTGTCGGGGATTACAAAACATGAAATGCAGCAAAGCGACACAACTGCATCTTTTTCGTAGCTTAACCCACTGCAGTGAAAACAACAGAAGTAACATTGGAACCATGTGTAAGGCTTAAGGGTAAAAGTCTCCTTGAAAGCCCAATGCCGTGTCTTTCTTGGTAACTCAGCACATCGCTTGTGAAGGATGTAATTGCATTCAACACAATAGTAAAATGAAGTTGAGATGGACCGCCCGCAACCATCACAACATTTTTCATCTTCTACATCATCACAAAGTATTAATTTGCATGGATGGTTGAAGTGTTCAATCTCTACGGCTATTACTTCCTCTCCAATTTTCTTTTCCTTGAGAACACGAGTAATAGAAGGCTCGCCAGATAACCACCCTAATTTTATTTGATTGAGATTTTGATTTTCATCTGTCTCCTCATACTCTTGGATGAAAATATCTCTGTCCATTGCACAAGCCACATGAACAAAGTAATCACA